TACTTTTTCATTTATTAATTTCAAATCTCATTATTATTCATATTCATTAATGGACATTGCATGAAAACTAAGTCTCTTTTGAAGAAGATGAATTATGAGAGTTTTATTGACCTTTCGTCATTTATATGATTTGAGATACAAATAATAGTGTAATTTTCATTGAATACCAAAATGAAATTTTGAATAGATGTCATTAATCTATTCAATTTTCTTTACTTTTCATTGAGCAATTTAAAACTCTTAGACATGATGATCAAGGTTTTTCTTGAACTTTTCTCAATGTGTTTAAATAAATGATTGATCTAAAATCAATCGATTTGAATTTAAAGAAAATAAAATGAAAAGGAAAACTATTTCGAAATGTTAAATTCCTCATTATGAATTATTTTGTCTGTAAGAATAAACTCGATGAAATTAGAGAAATATCTTTTTTTATAAAAAGAAAAATCAATTTAATGTCATTTAAAAATTTTCGTTTGGCTTGATTATTTATTTTTCTGTTTTAAAACTAAAGACAAATGCTAATACCGTTGAGGGTGTGGGTGTGAGTGTTATACTTTATCCAGAGCCACCAACAGCCACACTCCTACCGACACCCAGATAAGTGAGCCCTAGGAGTGAAAAAATAAAATAAAATTTATGAAAAAAACGCCAAAATTCTGTTGACAACACGATATTTTTGCGAGTTCTTTAAAGCTTTCCTGTCACAAAATAGTGCAGGAAAGACCACCATACACGTGAATGTTCTATTTCTGTGTTTGTGGATTCAGCATCCCCATATTCAGTGCGGAAAAAACATTCCTCTGAGGAGGCTGAGCACTCTTCGATCCCGTAATATAGTCACACAGAGCCAACCAGTCAGAAAATTGTCGAGGATTTCGTGCGCTAACGAAAAACATTCGATTAACACCTTGCAATCCGGCATCTATTGTTTCTTGACGAAGTTGATCTTTGAACGCATCAACTTCATCAGGCGCTACTTGATCGAATTTATTGACGACAATATCATAGTTCAGATTGATCGCATCTAATAATTTGAAAACTTTTGTCATCTCTTTTACTGTGTGTGTGATAGCGACCAGACGAATGGTCAAACCTTTCCAAAAACTAATATAATCGGCAGTGAAATATTGGATATCATCATTTCTCCCAGGTATATCAACCAGTCGATACCCAGCACCATCATAATGTTGAATATCTTTTGTTGTTTCACCAATACCGACAGCAGCCACATCTTTGCCCAATAATTTATTGATTATTGTGGATTTGCCCGTTGATGTGACGCCGAAGATTGCAACATTAATACCATCCAATTGAAGTGGAGCTACTTGTTCACTCACACACACACACATACACCATTACAGAAATCCTACTTCTATTATCCTCGGAACTTTCCAAACATTCCATGCAATTCCTTCTAATCCCTATAGTCGTAGCATCTCTTTATAAATAATACTCACCCTCAAGATGCCAAGTGAATCTATTCTTGCAAAATTGAGAAAACGATTTTGTAACACAGTAGATAAACGTCTTTGTTTTGGATTTTTTAAATTCAAAATACATAATCCATTCGTTAGTCGTCGTAGCTGACGTGAAACTAGTCATGGCAGCTAAAACACACCCACACTTTTATTCTTTTATATATTATATATTTTTCATTTATTCTTATACCTTTAGTTTATAATTATAATAACTTATTTTAAAAAGTTAACGTTTATGTTTTTATATTTAAATTGGATCGACTTTTAATGCTTAGACAGTACTATGTTCTTACTCAAAGATCGTCCCTGTCAAAAATACAACATTCCAAAATCTTCCACCTTCTTTCCTAAGCACCGTCAAAGACCAAAAGGCTTTGAATATGGACTCTGCCAAAGCCGCGTCTGCGCAGCAGTTCCCGGCCACGGTGAACGGGGAACTCGGCCACGACCATGACGTTGATATCCTCAGCACCGACGCCAGCTTCAGCTAATAGCTGTAGCACCGCACAAAGCGTCTTCCCCGTGGCAAGCACATCATCCACTACCACCACGGATGCACCTCTGAGGACCGCGTCCCGGTCCATCTCGATCATCTTCTCACTTGAGTCGTTGGAGGCCGAAGACGAGATATGCGACGAGTCTTTGAGGACGGAAACGGTGGGTGGCGGAAGTTTGCCGGCATCGCGAATCAGCGCCAAGGGTACATCGACCCGCGCGGCCAGCGCCGACGCATAAACAAAGCCCCCGGCTTCGCAACAAGCCACCGCATCGACTTTGGTCCAGTCACCGATGAAATGGGTGTGCAAGAGAGAGGCACACAAGGCCAGCCCACCTGGCTGCTGGGAGATATTGAGCACGTGGCGGAACTCGATGCCTGTGCGTGGAAAATCGCGTACCGAGCGCACCATATTGGCCAGTCGCTGCAGGTCCTCGTGGAAGAAGGGCAGCAGGTAATGTTCGGCAAACCTTTTTATCCCGTCACTTCCGGTCGTGTCATTGTCGAAGATGAGACTAGGGCGGTAGTCCAAGGCCGTCGGACTCGATCTATTAATATCAGTGTCATTATTGTCATTGTTATCCTTGTTATACTCTCGGCGAACCCGCTGCGTCTCTTCGCTAGCTTTGACGTGAACCTCGAGCAGTCTCCTGTCTGGCACCAAATGCGAGAAGGCTGTGATCGGTGCCTCGTCTCTCATCCCGGTGATTAGCAGCACGTCCACATCTCTGCCGTCGTGCACCACACGCAGAAAATGCTCCTCTGGCAGTCGAGGTCGTTGCCGCACCTGGTCCTGGAAAAATGTCGTCAGCGCTGGCCGGTGTTGTTCCTTGTAGGCACGGTCCCGCAGGAGGCGGTTCAGGTCGGCACCGGTAGCCGTTGCGTATTCTCGCTTGGTTACATCGCTAATGCTGACTGCCCGTGCTGTGAGGCGTTTGTCTGTACATGACCTGAACCCGGAGACCCAGATATCGGCGCAATAATCTTTACCGGTGCAGCTTTCGCCCGTGACAAGAATGATGAGCTTCTGTTCCATCGGCGCTTCCCGGAACGGGCAGGCGTAAGCTAGCACATTGTGCGGGTCCGAACTGTGTTTGCAACGGATCAGACGCGGTAGATTTGACCCAAAAGCCTTAGCCGCCAGCGCGATGTCTCTGGGGTCCGGTCCGAGGTCAGCGCCGTAAGCTCCGTTACTCAAGGGCAGCAAGTCCCTGGCGACGTTATAAACCCACCGCACTGCAGCTTCAGCGACTTCGGTACCATCTTGGTCACGCGGCCAGACACCAGTTACGACGCAGGCAAAGTCCCAGTCTCGACAGCCAAAAGCAGTGGCATCGGCCGCCACGTCTCCGACCGCTCCGCCACCATGTAGTAGATGCAGATAGCAGAGTGGCGAGGGACGAGTCTCCATGGCCTCCACTAAGATGCCGGCGACGTTCACTTCTCCAATATGTTTTAAGAGTAAACAACGCTTGAATGAGGAGGTCTTGCCGCCCCCGTGGCCGCCGTGCATCCCGGACATATACATCTCGGTCTCAAACAAACCGACACCGTCCACAATCTTGAAACTATTTTCCGGTCCCAAAAATGCACGTACTGGCGTGGGTATTTCAAAGGTGAGTTCAGTCGTGGAAGATTCGTACATGATCACGCCCATATGCAGCTGATTTGCGTCCCAGTACAGGTACGCGTCTGCAGAACAGTTCCGGGGGAGCTTGCTGGCGACCAATTTGTCAAAGTCGCTAAGCTTGAGCTGCGCCTCGAGGTTATCTCTCAACGGGATAACCCAGTTTCGAACCGAATAGGTCGCAGCTGCATAAGCCTTGAAAGTAACGCTGACCACGATGCCGAAGTTGGTCCCAGCGCCTTTTATCGCCCATAACAGGTCGGCTTCGTTTTCCGGGCGGACATCACTGGCCGGCCGGTGTTGGCTTGGTACATGACCGATGCATAGGACTTGGCCAGAGTCGACACTGACCACCATGGCACCGACGATGGCGTCGCACGCGAGTCCGTGCCGCCTGGCCAGGTGTCCGATGCCGCCTTGAAGCCACAATCCTGCGCCTACGCTGGGGCGGGCCCCCAGGGGCACCGTCAGGCCCGCTGCCATGGTCTTTTGGATGATATCCCCCGTCTTGCAGCCAGCCTCGGTGACGACCAAGGGACCGGGGTCAGAACCAGGTTTTCCTTCATCCTCCCCGGCCGTGAGAATGTGTACTTGGTCAAAGGCGCTCATCTCCATTGAGATGACGTTGGGCCAGAGACAGTGGCCGCTGTGACCCCCGCCGACGACGGTCAGGCTAAACCCATGCTTTATAGCAAATTGAACGAGCTGCACGACATGCTTGATCTCTGTCGGTCTAATAATCGAGGCGGGACGGTGAAGGCGAGCCTCCCGGTTTTTGACTGCGCCATTCCCCTCTGGCAATGGCATCTGGGCCGTTAGCTCCGGCAACGCGGTCGCATGCTGGGTAAATGCCACCATGATGTTAGGCGAGCTGAATAACAGATGGTCTGGATGAACTTCGTCACGACGGCCCAAGGCACGGCATACATTACGCCACTCGGCTCGGATAGCCTTGTCCACGTCCACATCCTGTATGACAAACCCTGCAATGAAAGGAGCAAAACAGTCCAGCACCTCATCGTCATTTGCCACGCGAATGACTCCAGTAGGGAAAGAAGCCGTTCGATGGCACACTAAGCCGTTGAGGTCCAGGGTTCCGTCTCGATGAAAAATCACCACCATTCCGCTTTCTGGTTGTTCATCCAGCATTTTCAGCGCTCGCTCGACAAACAGTCGTTTGGGCTTCATGCCGTACATGCTGTGGCAGAATAGAACGACGTCGAACTTTTCGTCACCGGTACCGCTTCCTGTGTTGTTATTATCTAAAACGAATGGGATTCGATGGATGTCGGGAGGGCTTTCCAGACAGGGCAGCGGGGACCCCGAAGTAGAGCAAAGCCCTTTTTCCAATGTTGTGGCGAACAAGCCATTAGGCTCAAACGCAGCGTATCTCTTAATCTTCCTTCTCAAACGACCGGGCAGATATCCAAATACGCTCTTCGGGCCGGGTCCGATCTCTAGCACCGAGATACGGATACGCGAGTTGAACAGGGGAGCCAATACTTGAGATAGTTGAGGGATAATGAAGTCTTGGTACGTCGTCCATTCTGAGTTTCGCACCCAGCTTTCGAAGGCGGCGCTGTACTCTGAGTCGGACAATGGCTGCTTCGTGAACGATGCTGTTGCCGTGGCTTTCTGCCTGAGGGCCCCCTTTAGTGAGTCGAGAGTGGCCATGTCGGTTCGGCGTGAGTGTGTCTGTATTTCGTACTAGTAGTACAGAGGAATGGCGACAATGGTGGAATAAGTACGTAGATTAAGCACGATAGATTTGTATCTTCAGTTCCCCCCCCCCCCCCCGCAGTATCGTGAGGAATCTCTGTCTTCGTTCAGCTTCGTGACGGTAGCCTGCAGTTCGCTAAGTATGCCCTTTTTAACTATTCGCCAATCAAGTATGCCTATTATAAACAAACAACTAGAAATAATAGTAACGTATATAATAAAAGTAATCGTTGATTATTATTTAAATAAATAAATCAAAAATGGGACGTAGGTTATTTCCTTTACACTGACGCTAAGGTGTATGAAAATGAGACTGTTTTGCTCACCCTTACTATCACGACTAGTTGAAAATTCTACTGAATCGATAAGTACTGGAATTTATCTCCGGTCTTTACATCTATCCACTGAGAGACAAAAAAATACCACCATGTTTACTACTTACTATTGAAATTATAAAATAATTTCCTTCTCTTCGTACGAGAGTGACAATATTTTTTTCTGAAAAAGAGAATGTAACAATGCGAGCAAAAAATATTCTTTCCAATGTTGAGAATGTGAGAACGATGATAGACAAGTTTTTTTCCGGGAAAGAGTTTGAGGACGAGAATATATTAGTTTTTTTCATGAAGGAGAGTATAAGAGTGAGAGCAAGAAAAATACGTCTGCCAATGAGAATGATGATGCACAAATTTCTTTTCTGGAAAAAAGGTGTAACAACACAAACAAGAAACAATTTTTTCAGGAGCTAGAATGCATGAATGATGATAGACAAGTTTTTTTTCCGGGAAAGAGTATGAGGATGGGAATAAATAAGTCTTTTTCCTGGAAGGAAAATGCAGAAATGATTACAAAATTTCTTCCAACAAGGAGAATATAATTATGATGATGGACAAGATTTTTTTCTGGGAAATAAAGTGTAACAACAAATAAAAAAAAGAGTTTTTCAGAAGGTAGAATGTAGGAATGAGAGTAAGTTGTCTTCGCAGAAAATGCCTGCATGTTTTGTTCACTTTCTGCAACCAAAAACTG